TCTCCGTTCTGCCAGCTCCAGGACAACCACAAACTCGTCCATTGCCACCACCAATTTCTGTTTTGCCAGCTCCAGGACAACCAGAAACTCGTCCATTGCCACCACCAATCTCCGTTCTGCCTGCTCCAGAGCAAGGTTGCGAACAAGGCATTGAACTTTTGCCAGCTCCAGTAGTTCCAGAAGTCCGTCCACTGCCTCTGCCACTTCCACCACAAGGTGAAATTTTGCCGCTGCCAAGTTTCCCACAAGTCCAGCCATTGCCAATTGAGAAACCAGAAACCCGTCCATTGCCGCCACCAATCTCCGTTCTTCCAGCTCCAGGACAACCACAAACTCGTCCATTGCCGCCACCAATCTCCGTTCTTCCGGCTCCAGGACAACCAGAAACTCGTCCACTTCCACCACCAGCCGGAATTCTTCCAGCTCCAATTACACCACAAGTGAGACCATGGCCAATGCCCCAACCACCACAAGTCGAAGTATTGCCAGGACCAACTTTCCCACAAGTCAGGCCTCTGCCAATTGAAGTGAATCCACAAACTCGTCCATTGCCGCCACCAATCTCCGTTCTCCCAGCCCCAGAAAGGCCACAAGTTCGTCCATTGCCGTTGCCTCTGCCACCACATGGCGAAGTATTGCCACTGCCAAGTTTCCCACAAATCATGCCATTGCCAATTGAGAACCCACAAACTCGTCCATTGCCACCACCAATCTCCGTTCTTCCAGCTCCAGAAAGGCCACAACTTCGTCCAGAAGTTGTGCCAGAAGATGAGCTTGGATGCGACAATATCTTCAACCCAATTCCCGGAGGTGTTGAGTCTTTGAGACCAGAACAAATTATCTTCTAGATTCTCTAAAAACTAATGTATTGGAAATCGTCATTATGTTATATCCTAATTAAAGCATTTGAAAAATTACTCGTTTCTTTTTAATTGTATTAATACAATTTATTATGAATAAATAAATCTCCTTACAACTCCATGAACAGTTATCAAAGAGTCAAAGATTGCAATTTTTAATTCTACCTAATCTTTAACATTTTAATAATCATTTTTTTGTGTATGTAGAAGATGTGATTAAAGAAGTTCAAATAAAATTATTTAATTCTTTTTGAGTTGATAAAACTTACTTATTAAAAGTACTTAAAGATTTTCAATAAACTAACACTTCTCATGCAATCGTAAAGTATATACAACATATAGTTCACATAATTTAGCAAAATCTTATTAGCTAAACTCGAACGAAACAAATAAAGAAACTAATCGAACAAATTTACTACTTAAATTTGACAACTTATTACAGGAAGTTGTTTTGTCTTTGATATGCTTATTTGATAATCTAATTAAACTATTTGTTTATCGTATAATTAAAAAATTGAGAAGTCATCTTATTTTGGTCAATTAAAATTACATAACAGAGGTTATTATAACATTTATTAAAAATGGAGCAAGTATGTAAAAATATGTGAGGTGTTTTCTAGAAATTACAAAAAAAATGTCAAAATATTAAAGCATCAAGCAGGAAAACATGAAATATCATAATTGGAATTGCATAGTTTTATCTTTGTTGTGCATATTTACAGATCACTTCTTATGTAATCATAAAATGTATGCAAAGTTTTCAAGATATTTTGAAAAATAGTAAAATATTATTAGTCGAAAATTTTCGCAAAAATATTCAATAAAAAAAAGTACACAGCTTGGTTATATGATGAAAATGGACTTTAATCAATATCTATTATAAAATGCTAAAATCATATCAGGAAAAATACAATTTTATTTGTAAATAGTGGAAAAATATAATAAATTTTATCGAATAACATCAGGAAACACGTTATCACGACACAATTCTGGATTTATTACATATAATTGTGGAATTGTAACAACAATAATTATAATGATGTATAGGAATATAACTAGACAATTCAATAATATTTTAAAATTGGAAATAAATGAAAATTTGTTATTTTTATTGTCAGTATCAATCATGTAATTTGCTAATATTTATTGAATTATCAATTAATATTTAAACATACTTTGTGGAAAGACAATATGACTTTTGCAATAAATAATAAAAATAACAGTCATGTTTGAATTAAAATAAAAAATTAAAACATATTCTTGCAATAAAAATTATCATATTGACTATGACAATGAAAAATATGCTTTAATTCAAAAATGGATTAATTTGTGTAAAATTTAATTGATAAATTAATATTTAATACACAAACTAACGAACGAAACCAAATCCAGCCATGTCTCCTTCACCCTCAAAAAGGGAACCTGACCCCCGATCACACTGAACAACAAAATCATCCCGCAGGTCGACGATGCCAAATACTTGGGCTTGTCATCGGCAAAAGATCTCCATTATCCCGCAATAACAAACTATTCATTTACAAGACAGTGCTGAAGCCGGTGTGGACGTACGGCATCCAGCTTTGGTGAACAGCCAGCAATTACAACATCGAGATCCTGCAACGCTTCCAATCCAAGTGCCTGCGAACCCTGGTGCAGGCCCCCTGGTACGTGACGAACGACACGATACACAACGACCTCCACATGAACACTGTTAAGAGTGAAATCTCCCTGTTCAGTGCCCGTTACCAGAACAGACTGGAAAACTACCTCTCCTAGACAATAGTGACACCCCCCACAGACTAAAAAGACACAACACTCTCGACCTCCCATTTAGAAACTAAAAGTTAGTTTATTAGAGTGAATATTTTTATTTAAAGTTTCATAGTGTCGTCAAAATCAATTTTAGTTGGGTTGTTATTGTCATTGAATTATTTTTTAGTTAAGTCTATATTTGTTTATAGGAAGATTTCCGATGGGAAATCGTTTCGCTCCATGCCTATTTATTTTGTTTTTTCTATTTTAATTTTTAATTGTCTATGTCAAAAAACTGTTCAACTCATTGTCATAATTATGGCAGATTGTGAATAATAATAAAGGATACAAAAAAAAACTATTAGATATTATATTTAAACAATAAATTCATGTAAAATTATTAATGCAAATAAATGAATTGAAGTGTCATCAACTTGTATAATAATTAAAATATATGGTTTCAATAATAATAGCAGTATTGAGTGGAACAATTATACAATTACATTAATAATTAATAACGTGATAAAAATAACTCAAATACGAGTTATTTTTGAAGGATACTATACATTTAATTAATGCAAAAAAAACCTACGCCTAAAAAAATCTCGTAGACTGTAGACATAATGGCTAAAATGTCTAATGGGTAAGACAAGACAGTCTTGCTAATCGATGAATTCTACTCTATATTTTTGTTATTGGAGTATAATGATTATTAAGTACAGAAAATGGTTAATAATTATGCAATATTGTACAATACATTTTTTTGCTAGTTTAATAATTCTTAATCATATTTTTTTATATGTAATCTATTTGAGATGCTTATTGGATTAAAGAAATAAATGACAATCAATAATTTCCTCCAATAAAGTAAGAAACGTCACACGCTTGATCCATCTGTGATAAGACTTTAGTATAAAAAGCTAGTAAAAATTGAAAGTGGTCAGTCAGAAAGCAAGATGACTTCCAAAGCAGTACTTGCCATTTTTGTAGCATTGGCTTATTTCCAAGGTATATCAAATTATATTTACGTTAATAACATGTATGGCTAATTCTATAATTTGTCTATAGGAAATGATGCTCGCATCATTTTGAACGATCCGTCCAAGGTGAGCGAATTGCATACCGCAGTTCAACCACCATCGACCGAATTGTTACCAGAAGTTATGCCATTGCCATCTGAGCTTCCACCACAAACTCGTCCATTGCCTCCAGCGATCGAGGTCCTTCCAGCCCCACAAAGGCCAGAAGTTCGTCCAATGCCATTGCCTGTGCCTCCACATGGCGAAGTAATGCCAGGACCTCCATTGCCGTTGCCTCTGCCACCACATGGCGAAGTATTGCCACTGCCAAGTTTCCCACAAATCCAACCATTGCCAATTGAAGTGAACCCACAAACTCGTCCATTGCCCCAGCAATCTCCGTTCTTCCAGCCCCAAAAGGCCAAAGTTCGTCCATTGCCATTGCCTTGCCACCACATGGCGAAGTATTGCCAGGACCACTTTCCCAAATATGCCATTGCCAATTGAAGTACCACAAACTCGTCCATTGCCACCACCAATCTCCGTTCTTCCAGCTCCAGAAAGGCCACAACTTCGTCCAGAAGTTGTGCCAGAAGATGAGCTTGGATGCGACAATATCTTCAACCCAATTCCCGGAGGTGTTGAGTCTTTGAGACCAGAACAAATTATCTTCTAGATTCTCTACAAACTAATGTATTGCAAATCGTCATTATGTTATATCCTAATTAAAGCATTTGAAAAATTACTCGTTTCTTTTTAATTATATTAATACAATTAATTATGAATAAATAAATATCCTTACTAATGGATGAACAGTTATCAAAGAGTCAAAGATTGCAATTTTTAATTCTACATAATATTTAACATTTTAATAATCATTTTTTTGTGTATGTAGAAGATGTGATTAAAGAAGTTCAAATAAAATTATTTAATTTTTTTTTGAATTGATAAAACTTACTTATTAAAAGTACTTAAAGATTTTCAATAAACTAACACTTCTCATGCAATCATAAAGTATATACAACATATAGTTTTCACATAATTTTGCAAAATCTTATTAGCTAAACTCGAAAGAAACAAATAAAGAAACTAATCGAACAAATTTACTACTTAAATTTGACAACTTATTACAGGAAGTTGTTTTGTCTTTGATATGCTTATTTGATAATCTAATTAAACTATTTGTTTATCGTATAATTAAAAAATTGCATCTTATTTTGGTCAATTAAAATTACATAAAGACCATGGCCAATGCCCCAACCACCACAAGTCGAAGTATTGCCAGGACCAACTTTCCCACAAGTCATGCCTTTGCCAATTGAAGTGAACCCACAAACTCGCCCATTGCCGCCACCAATCTCCGTTCTGCCAGCTCCAGAGAGGCCACAAGTTCGTCCATTGCCATTGCCTCTGCCACCACATGGCGAAGTATTGCCACTGCCAGTTTCCCACAAATCCAACCATTGCCAATTGAAGTGAACCCACAAACTCGTCCATTGCCGCCACCAATCTCCGTTCTTCCAGCTCCAGGACAACCACAAACTCGTCCACTTCCACCACCAGCTGGTATTCTTCCAGCCCCAGAAAGGCCACAAGTTCGTCCATTGCCATTGCCTCTGCCACCACATGGCGAAGTATTGCCAGGACCATCTTTCCCACAAATCATGCCATTGCCAATTGAGAACCCACAAACACGTCCATTGCCACCACCAATCTCCGTTCTTCCAGCCCCAGAAAGGCCACAACTTCGTCCAGAAGTTGTGCCAGAAGATGAGTATGGTTGCGACAACATCTTCCACCCAATTCCCGGAGGAGTGGAATCCCTGAGACCAGAACAAATTATCTTCTAAATGGAAGATCAACAATTTGTTACTATTATAAGATTATATTAATACTTAAATAAATAAAAGCATTACAAAAGCTAAATTAAAGATTTATTTCTATACAATAATTTATGCATAGATGCCCAATAACACAATTTGGATCCAAATCTACAAATTCATTAATTTGTATATGAATTAATTTATTCTAGCTTCAATATTTCTATTTCCAAAATGTCGTGCAATTGCAATTTGTGAAACTTAGTAAAAACACAAATTAATAGAGATTTTCAAATTTCCTTGAAAACACGAAAAATAATGCTCTTTTTCGAATGTTATTTCTGAATAAAATGAGCGCTAGCGTTTCAAAACTATATAATAAATGTTATGCACTGACAATTTTCCAATTTTCTCGCATTTTTCTTAATAACTCGATACATATGAAACTGCTTTTTATATTTTACCCACTGTTATGCAGTTAGTTTATGATGTATCAAAAGAAACAGAGAATAGACGACGCTAGATAATAAAATATTCTTATACTCAAATTATAAATGAAATAACTTCTTTCTAAAGTAGTAGCAAGTGTGTGCTGTCATCTTCTATGCTTTGTCAAAAATATAATACATTATGAAACAAAAGTTACGTTATATTATTTATAAATTACTCAACAACAACGCAACCTAATTAGATTATCTTACACTCAAATCTTACACTTACATCTTATATTTAATTACAAGATAACCACGCAAGCAAATTACATAATTTAACAAAAAACGTAAACTAAAAATCGCTATCTATGGAATGTGTGTGTTGAAAAAAATATAGCTTCAATATTTCGATTTTGAAAATTCTTGGAAATTATGCGTAATTTTTGATAAATTTTGTGAAAAACGCAAATTGAGAGTTTCGTTTTTCTTCAATAACTATAAATAAAGAACTTTTTTCGCATGTTATTTCATAATTAGATGAAGATAAGCATTGATCATCTGGCTATATAATAAATGTTATGTACCTACGAGTTTTCTTTGTGTTTTTTATTTCATTCTCGAAAACTTTAAAATCTATTGTTGCGTAAAAAGGGCTTTATAATATTTGTTACATCAGAAATTTTATAACTATTTATTATGTGACAAATATTATTTGATGACATTTACGTAACCGAGAAATGACTTTTTTTCTATGTCTTGGCATTTTATTTAATTACAGAACATATATTAGAATTACTATAATAATTTAGTAAAAATAAATACAAAACTACCTTTCCAATGAACTACTGTATGAACATACTAATAATCGCACCTATTTTGGAACGCATTGGCATGTTGTTTAGAAAATGTTGTTGCAGACCATCCACTCTCGGTACAGTTTACTGGTGTCTCATTTTAAGAGTCAGGGATCGTTCTGATTTCAGCTTTCCTACTCTTACTTTTTAGTAGCACATGTTGTCAAATTGAGAAGTATATAACGGTAGAAGTATATTTGGTGTTTTTTATGATATATTGTACATTATGTCATTATTTCTCGGGCTGGAAGACCTATGGTCATTAGCCATTTGCAGAAATTTAATTTTAGTTTTGTTATTATGTTAAGTTTGTATTATGTTTGATACAATAAATATTATTATTAATTACAAAATATAAATATATTTTAGAAAATTTCAAATGTAGTGTTTAGATTTGAATTGAAAAGCAGTCATTTTAATATAAACGCATTAATATGTCACATCCTGTATATAATATTTTTCTCGAATCATTCAGGATATTTTTCTCTAAAATTCTTTTATAGTAATCATAAAAATATTGAAAAAAAAATATATCTGTTATCTAATATTTTATTAGATGGCATAATATAAATCCTCATTTTTTTTGTAATCGACTCTCCTTATTCAAGAATGTATAGTAACTTGAAACGTTTATGTCAACTTTTTTATTGTTAGAAAATTTAGATTAAGTAAATCTATAAGCTCAATCCAATAAAGGTACAATGTTATTGATGTACTTCAAATCTGATAAGAATTCACTATATAAACTGAGATGAACAGTGGACAATCACACAGTCAAGATGACTTCCAAAGCAGTCCTTGCCATCCTCGTAGCATTGGCTTGCTTCCAAGGTATATATAATTGTTCATAATTAAATTAACGGTTTTTAATAATTATTTTTTTGTGTCTTAAGGATATGGAGCTCGTATCATTTTGAACGACCCATCCAAGGTGAGCGAACTGCACACCGCAATTCAACCACCATCGACTGAATTGTTGCCAGAAGTACCGCGTCCAGAGGCTCTTCCAGCTCCAGTCTTCCCTGAAATCATGCCACTGCCAGCTGAACTTCTACCGCAAACTCGTCCATTACCACCACCAATCTCTGTTCTGCCAGCTCCAGAACAACCACAGACTCGTCCATTGCCACCACCAATTTCAGTTCTGCCAGCTCCAGAACAAGGTTGCGGATCGGGCATTGAGCTTCTGCCAGCTCCAGTCGTTCCGGAAGTGCGTCCATTGCCTATGCCTCTTCCACCACAAGGAGAAATTTTGCCAGGACCAACTTTCCCACAAGTACAGCCTTTGCCAATTGAGAAACCAGAAACCCGTCCATTGCCTCCACCAATCTCCGTTCTTCCGGCTCCAGAGAGGCCACAAACTCGTCCACTTCCACCACCAGCTGGAATTCTTCCAGCCCCAATTGTACCACAAGTCAGACCATGGCCAATGCCCCAACCACCACAAGTGGAAGTATGGCCATGGTCTCACTTGTGGTGCAATTGGGGCTGGAAGAATTCCGCTGGTGGTGGAAGTGGACGAGTTTGTGGTTGTCCTGGAGCTGGAAGAACGGAGATTGGTGGGGCAATGGACGAGTCTGTGGTTTCTGGAGCTGGAAGAACGGAGATTGGTGGTGGCAATGGGCGAGTCTGAGGTGTAATTTCAGATGGCAATGGCATCACTTCGGGAAAGTTGGTCCTGGCAATACTTCCACTTGTGGTGGTTGGGGCATTGGCCATGGTCTGACTTGTGGTGCAATTGGGGCTGGAAGAATTCCGGCTGCGTGGTGGAAGTGGACGAGTTTGTGGTTGTCCTGGAGCTGGAAGAACTGAGATTGGTGGAGGCAATGGACGAGTCTGTGGCCTTTCTGGAGCTGGAAGAACGGAGATTGGTGGTGGCAATGGGCGAGTCTTGGGTGAATTTCAGATGGCAATGGCATCACTTCCGGGAAAGTTGGTCCTGGCAA